ATTATTATTATTATTATTATTATTATTATTATTATTATTATTATTATTATTATTATTATTATTTTATTATTATTATTATTATTATTATTATTATTATTATTATTATTATTATTATTATTATTATTATTATTATTATTGCTTTAAAAGTATAACAAAATTCTATTATTAATTTATTATTATAATAATATAGAATATATTATTTATCAATCATCATTATTATTTAGTTTATCATAAAATTGATATTAATAAAGTTTTCCAAATATTTGATAAAAATTGTTGAATAATTCAAATTCACACAATGTAAATTCAATTTCAAATTCATATTCAATTATTTAATAAAAAATAAAAATTATGTTAATAGTGGCACATATATTTTTCTAGAAAATGATTGATAAAATCTGTTTAATCAGTTTGTTGATTTCAACTGAAGATTTTAAAGCATTTAAAATATACATACAGATATATATATGATCGATGATCATTCAACAAATTTTATTTTATTTCATTTGCTTATTTATTTTTAAACATTTTTAAATATTTACAAATAGAGAAATGAATTTTCCAGAACAGAAACTTTTCGAATATTTATTTATAAATAAAAAGGAATCTTTCAAAATACTGTCAACAATGTTTCACTTAATATATTCAACAGATGTGCTAATAATGATGAGAAAAAAGAAAAAAAAAAAAAGATTTATGAGTCGCCGATGTAAGTTAATGATAAAGCTAATGATATTGTTTTCTTTATTATCATTATCATATCATCAATAATACTAAATTTTAATGCAATAATTAGAATTTATGCATGAGTTAAATTAAAAATTTAATTTGATATTTCTTACCATATTGCTTATCTTTAAGTCATTAAAATGAAGTATCGATTTTTCGGATAACGTATCGTTTAATTAAATTTTAATGATGTTTTCTTAATAATATTCTAAGTTAACGATATTTTGCAAGAGAGAATGGAAAACAAAAATAGGATACTTAAATATATGCTAACTGCTAACATTAAATAATGTTCATCATAGGCTTATCTAAGGCTTGTGTCCTAGTCACAATAATAAAAAAAATATGAACAAAGGACATAAAACTTTTTTTTTAAAAAAAAAATAGAAAAAACTTTTTTTTCCAATATAGAAAATTAATAGCTGCATTTATAAAAAAAAAAACAATTATTAATTTTCGATATTAAAGAAAAAAAAAATGCCAAAATAATAATAAAAATTATTTTGAACAAATAATATTTCACGCAAAAATGATCAAGAAATTAATTTTAAATTTGTAATTAAAAAAAATCAAAACTTAATCTAAAATTAGAACTCAATTCATAAATAAATATGATATAAATTTATTCGAAATAAATGAAAACCTTCAAATTCATAATCAAATATATTCGAAATAAGTAAAAATTCCGAAAATTCACAAATAAATATAATTATTTTTTCGCAAATAATTATAATATATAATTAAATTCGAAAATTAAAAAAAAATCAAGATCGAATTCAAATTTAAAAATAAAATTAACTGCATAAATGCGTATAATGTAAATATATTTGAAATAAATGGAAATTTATGAATATATAAATAAATATATTTAAAATAAATACTACTTATTGAATTATTAATTTCATCAAAACTCAAAAATACAAAAAAAAAGGAAAGAAAAAAAACAAAATTTGTAACAAAAAGGAAAATAATAAAGCATTCATGTTTAAAATTAGTCAAAAATACATTTCACAGCAAAACAATTATTGTGAAATTTAAATTAAACGTTTAATTTTTGATCACAAATTTTTGCAATTTTCTCGTGTCATTTCAATTTTTGCTAATTTTTATCAAAAAATTTAACAAAAATTAATTAATGAAAATATATGCAAAAGTAATTTATCACTCAAATCAGTTAAGAGTTATTACGAAAAGCACAAAATATTGAATTGAGTATATTGCTACATTACTTTGACTAAATAACAAAACATCCTTGCCTAGTAACATACTTATTGAATGGGGCCTAGCAATGCTAATCAACCATACGCTAGGCATTCTATCATCATCAGCCATTCCATATACATGCATTGATGCCTGAAAATGTGGAAAGGGAGAAAAAAAAAAGTAAAACGTAAATTTCTACAAGCAGTATTTTTATTTCTA